CCATTTCTCTAGAATATGAGGTTCTCAGTATTTAAACCAAAGCACTGGAATACCATAAATATTTAAGAATACAACTCAAAACACTTTTATATAAAATAGACTTTATATAAAATAGATTTTATATAAAATAGATAATTGACATAATAAACTGTATCTATATATATACTTGTGAAGCTATCACCACCTAGAAGTTTTATATTAAGGGAGTCCTGTCGTATGTACTCTTTTTTATTGTCTAGCTAATTTCACTTGGCATAATTATCTTAAGTTTTATCTATGTTGTTCTTTGTGTCAGTAGTTCATTCTATTTATACTGCTAAGTAGTACTATATTTTATGGATGTGCCATAGTTTGTTTATTCATTCACCTACTAATGGACATTTAGGTTATTTCCAGTTTTTTGGCTATTGAAATAAAGCTAGACAAAAATGTTTATAGAACATTTATGTATAAGTCTCTGATTGGACATATGTTTTTATTTCTCTTCAGTAAATAACTAACAGTGGAATGGCTGTCTCATATGGTAGGTGTATGCTTAATTATTTTATGAAATGACAAAATGTATTCCAAAGTGGTTGCACCACATTTCATTCCCACCAGGACTGTAGGAGAATTCTAGTTCCTCCACATTCCTGCACACATTTTGTATTTGCAATCATTACAATTTTAACCATTTGAATCAGTGTGCAGTAATTTATCTTTGTAGTTGATGTTTGTCTCCAATGTCAAATGATATAGAGCATCTTTTCATGTGAGTATTTTTCCTCTCTGTATCCCCATTGGTGAGATAGCTGTTCACATCTTTTTCCCATTTTTTGTATTGGGTTGTGTTTTTTAATTGGGTGTTGATAGAAGTTCTTTATAAGATATGATTTGCAAACATGTGCCCCTGTCACTGGCTTGTTTTATCATTATCTTAACAGTATTTTAAATTCTGATGAAGTCCAGTTTTATGTTTGTTCTTTTGCATATCTTAAAAAATCAGTTGTTCATATGTGTGTCAGTCTCTCTGTTATATTTCATTGATTTATTTTCTGTCTTTACACTAATTCTATGCTGTCTTTATTACTATAACTGTGTAAGTCTTAAAATTCCAGTAAGTAGTGTTACACCTCCAACTACTAATTTTCAATGAACATTCAGAGGTAATTCAATGGAGAAAGAAAAGATTTCTCAACAAATTGGGCTGGAAAAAAATTGTATATCCATATGTAAAAAAAAAATCTTTAATGCAACATATACAAAAAGTAATTCAAAATAAATCACAGATTTAACTGTAAAATGAAAAATTATAAAACTTCTAAAACATAGAAAATTTTTTGATCTTGGGTTATGTGAAGATTTCTTATATGCAACAACAAAAGCACAACACATAAAAATGTTAAAAGAAATTCGTCAGGCAGAAGAAAAGTGATATAGCTAAAAAATGTGGATTTACATTTAAGAAGTAAGACCATTAGAAAAGAACAAATGAAAGTGGAAAATATTTTATTTTGAATTGATCTAAAAGATAACTTTTGTTGAAGGAATGTTTTGAGTGTTTATGACATATAGATACATAAAATGAATAACAGTAGTCACGGAGATGGCAGAGAGGAATTGGAAATATTCTGTTACAAGATGCCTTCATGATACGTGAAATAGTGTAGTGTTATTTGGGGGTAGATTTATATTGTTACAAATGTATATTATAAAACCTATGGAAGCTATTAAAACAGTTTTTTTCAAGTATAAATGATATATCAAGAGGGGAGATAAAATTCAATCATATAAAATGCTCAGTTAAACCCAGAGAAGGCAAAATGTGAACAAAAAAAAAATTAGCAAAGAACAGATTTAACAAATAGAAAACAGTTACCAAGTATGTATTTTCCTATTCTTCCTTTCAGTTCTCAATTTTTGCCTCCTATATTTTGCTGCTCTGTTGTTAGGGATCATTTGTTGTTAGGGATCATGTTTAGAATCATTTTTTTTTTTTGGAGAATTCACTCTTTTTATCATTGGGTAATGCCCTCTTTATCTCTGGTTATCTTCATTGCTATAAACTCTGCTTTGTCTAAAATTAATACAGCTACTTCAGTTTTCTTTTTATTTGTGTTCTCATGGTTGCATAGTTTACATCTTTCTTCATCCCTTTACTTCTAACCTATCTGAGTCTTTATATTTTAACAGGATTTCTTGTAGATAGAATATTTGAGGATCTTTATTTGTTATCAATTCTAACAATTTCTGTCTTTTAACTGGCGTGTTTAGAACATTCACATTTAAAGTGATTATCAATATAGTTGGATTAAAATCTACCATCTTTTAACATTTCTTTTGTGATAAGCCTGCTGACAGTAAATTCATATATATGGAGGGAAAATTGAAGGACAAAAATTGAAAGACAATAAAGGCTTTTTCAAGTTACAGCTACAGCTTGAAATTTTATAGTCTTTCAATGTCAATAATTTTATTGAATACAGAATTCTAGGTTGGCAGGGGTTTTCTTTCTTTCAACACATTAAAAAGTTCACTTTTCTCTCCTTGTTTGCATGGTTTCTGATGAGAAGTCTGCTGTAATTCGTATACTTGTTCCTCTGTAGGTATTTTCTTCCTCTGGTTTTATTGAAATGTTCTTCTTGTCTTGGTCTTCTGAAATTTAAATATGGTATGCCTAGGTGGCTTTTCTTTGTTTTTCTTTTTGCTATTTATCTTGTTAGGTGTTCTCTGAGCTTCTTGGATCTGTGGTTTGATGTCTGTCGTTAATTATGGAAAGTTCTCGGCCATTTTTTTAAAAAAATATTTCTTGTTTCCTATTCTCTCTAGCATTCTGGTCATGTACATGTTACACCATTTGATACTGTCTACAATTTGGGAATGACCTGCTAATTTTTTTTTCATTCTCTTTCTCTTTGCATTTCAACTTCAGAAGTTTTTATTGATCTATGTTCATGTTCACTAATTCTGTCCTCAGTGGTGTGGAGTCTACTGACGAGCCCCTCAAAAGCATTCTTTGATATAGTTTCCTTGATTTCTAGTTTTTCTTTCTTAACTCTTTTTATAGTTTCCATCTTTTTACTGACATTACCTATCTTGTTTTTATTTTTTCCTGCATCTACCTACATCTTCTGGCAGATAACAACTGATTATCTTCCAGAAATGAAATTAATGAAACATTTAAATATCCTGCATGTCAAAAACTTAAAAAACGTAATGTGTCTTCACTTTCCACTTCTGGTTTAAAATGCTTTCCTTTTTTTTTCTCTTGTCCAAATTTCTAGATTGTAAAGAAACCCTAACTCTAGGGTTTTATTCTCCCTCACATAGAAGGATTTCCACAACGAGCCCTTCAGAAGTATTGAGGCATACTTTAATCATGGAGCATTTTATTTAGGTCACTCCTGGCAAGGTAGATGAAGACTTCAGCTTCTTTTTCAATTATATTATCATATCAATACAATTCCATCTCTACACAAATTAGTTAGCAAGACAGGCTTTTAAACATTTGACTGTGGAGAAAATTATTGATATACCTTTATATTATCCAGGAGCTTCTTTGTGGAGGTGTTGGGCAAACCATGTGGATCTGTGCTATTCACCATGACTACCATTGTGAGGTTCAGGCATGCGCGCTGTGCTGTTGTTATAACATTACAACAGTGCACAAGGAAAGACAATCCATAGCGAAAGGAACAGAAACCTGGAACTACAAAGTAAAACAGAAAGTCTTAATTGTTGACACAGCTGAGATAAAAGCATACTTTAAGTATAGGAGGGACATTCAGAAATTTGGACCCCTAGATGTTAATTTAAAATTTTATTGTACTTAATGATCTTTGATAATTATTATATAATAGGAAGATGTCAGACTGATATAATAGTACCATATTCTCCTTAAAATTATAACGCCAACTAGAAATTCCAAGAAAATTAAGCCAATCTTTAAAGTTCTTTGGCTCATGTCTATTTTTTAAAAGACCTTTTATAAACACCCTGTGTTACTCTTGGATATAAGTCCCCTTCATAACAACAAACACATTTTCTTTCTAGAAAACTATTCCTGTGGCCGGGCGCGGTGGCTCGAGCCTGTAATCCCAGCACTTTGGGAGGCCGAGACGGGCGGATCACGAGGTCAGGAGATCGAGACCATCCTGGCTAACACGGTGAAACCCCGTCTCTACTAAAAAATACAAAAAACTAGCCGGGCGAGGTGGCGGGCGCCTGTACTCCTAGCTACTCGGGAGGCTGAGGCAGGAGAATGGCGTAAACCCGGGAGGTGGAGCTTGTAGTGAGCCGAGATCCGGACACTGCACTCCAGCCTGGGCGACAGAGCGAGACTCCGTCTCAAAAAAAAGAAAAAAGAAAAAAAAAAAGAAAACTATTCCTTTTCCAACATTTTAAAAATACACTGGTTGAAAGACTCATATATGCCCAATGTGGAGAAAAATGGCATTTAAAAAAATGTAATTACTTATTGATATAAGCTAGAGTAATCAGTAGGTGTACAGCCAAACAAGTTCATTGATGGAAGAAAGTAGGGAGTCTGGAAACAGATACGTATATATGGTTAACTTTTAAAAAATAAATGTACTAATGCAATTCATTGGAGGAAAGTAAAGTATTTTTCAACAAATGGCATTTTTTTTCCAAGAGAAATATAGGCATATGTCTACAAAACAACATGTACAGAAATGTTTATAGCAGCTTTATTCGAAATAGCAGAATGTTTGGAAAGAATGGACATATCATGATATTTTAATACAATGCATATTACTCAGAAATAAAAGGAAGGAACTACTTATACACAACAATTTGGATAAATCTGGATGAATTTCAACAAAAACACTTTCAGTTAAAGAAGCTAGACACCAGACAGTATATATTATGGGAATCTAGTTTTATGAAGTTCAAAAACAGCAAAATTAATCAGTATGGCCCCCTCCATCTCCAAAATCAGCAATGGGAATCTACATTATGTTGAATCTCTCTCGTTCTTTGAATCTAACTACTCTGTCTTTGACCAGTACAACCAGATTTAACGGGCTCATGTGATTAGATCTCTCCTAACTGCATAATTTTCCTATTTAAGATTAACTGATTTGGGACCATAATGACATCTGCAAAACCCCTTGAAGCAGCACCTAGCCTAATGTTTGCTTAAATAACTGGGAGAAAGTGTGTATACACCAGGGGCTGGGAATCTTGAAAGTAAACGTAGAATTCTGCCTACTGCAGTCCACCATCTGGCTCTTAAAGACTCATGTCCATTTCACATGCAAAACATATTCCCCCGTTTCAAGCTTCCCAAAGTCTTCATTTTATTACATTATTAGCTCAAGTTCAAAACCTCATCAAAATCTCATAGCACAGTCCAAATTCTCATCATCTAAATCAGGTGCGGAAGAGGCGCCTATGATTAATCCCTCCTTGGGCACAATTTCTCTCTGTGGGCTTGTGAAACTAAAGAGACGAGTTATATGCCCCTAACACTTTTACCACGTAATGGTGGAACAGGCGTGGGATAAAGCTATAGACATTCCAGTTCCAAGGTGGGAAAATAGAAGCGAAAAGGAGTCATCGATCCATAAAGGTTCTGAAGTTCAGCCAGGCCAATGTTGGATTTTTTATAAAGCCTGCAGATAATTCTTGTGGCTCTTGGCTGGGCTCTGGGCTCTGGGCTGTATCCTCTGTGATCATTGTTCCACCCAAGAATACAACAGGGGCCAGGGAGCTTGGGGGCCATCTTGGAATTCTGTCTACTGCACATTCATAGTTAACTAAGAGTTTTTTATTACAAATAAATATTAACGTCATAAATAAATAGGTTTTTTATATCTATTGAGATAATCATACAGTTTTCCTCTTTCAATTAATTTGTGTGGAGTGACATGTATACGTTTTCTAACATTAAGTTACTCTTTCATTTTGAGGATAAACCTGACTTAGTGTGGTGGTTGCTTTTTTAATGGTTTTATAAATTCTTAGACTTGTTTTGTTCTGTTAATATTTTATTTAGGATTTGGTATCTTTATAATTTTCATAGGACTATTTTGCTTTATATGTTGGAAGCTATTTTATTAGATGTATAAATATTTTATATCATCCTATTGAATTGAATTTTATATCATTTTGCAACATTCTTATAGAATCATTTGAACTAGTAAAAGACTGTAAACAAATTAGATGTTTATAAATCAGTGACCATTTAAATAAATTATAATATATCCATCCGTACCAAAGTCATTTGCAGCTATAAAACTGCTAAGGAAAAATCTCTGCCGAAAATTGTGGAATACTCTTTAGGTAAACTGTTAAATGAAAAAAAGCATTAGTACCCACAAATAGTTGGCTAGTTTTCTGGACTAGCCTGAGCTTCCATTGTTAAAAGATAAGAATATTAGATAAAAATATGCTTAAAATAAAACATTTTATTAAAAGCATGGGTGATCTAAGAGGAAAGATGAAATATTCAGGCCAAGGGCTTAGTGAAGATGGGGGCCTCAAAACATAAGTTGAGCATTGAAGTCAGATGTTTCACTGTGGACTTTTGATCTTGGAATTTTGGGCCTTCCACGATATGGGGACAACAGGAATCAAATACCAAGGTCCTAGCAGTGTGATAGTATATACTAGGAAACCCTCTCCTAAAATACTTAGATGTCAAAGACTTACATGGTCAATGGAGGATGAACACATTGTCCCTTTACCTTGTCAGTGGACTGCCAAAAAAATTTGTGCCATATGAACTTAAGAGCTGAATAGAAGGGGGTAAAAGAATACTCCTGAGAAATTTAATAATCAGTCAACCCTTCCTTTGATTTGCAGCCTAAACTCATTATCTTAGGGAAGTGAATGGATCTAGAAAGCCATCAGAAACTTTGTAAACACCCCTGCAGGAGAGAAAAATGTCTCAACATGGTAAAGGCGAAGTCACTGTCACCGCGTCAAAGAAGGGCTCATTGTCTTGGTCATTTAGGGGTACCCTTTTGAGTTTTACTCATTTCTCTCCTCCACATTGCTCCAGAAAGTCCATGAATTATATCTAAACAAGTTTTAAGTTAAAAAGAAGACCACCGGGGTATTTCTAAAGTGTTTGGGATTGAGTAATAGTAAGAATACTGCATATCAAACTCATGGAGAGAGAAAATGTGAATCTGTTAATATATTTATCAAAAAAGAAAGAATTTAAAAAATTGGAAACTGAACAAAGGAACAAACCCAAAGAGTCTAAAAGGAATTAAATGCATAAGGGCAGAAATGAATGACATTAGAAAAAAAAAGTATATACGTATATATATATATAAACTTTGAATGCAAATTAAATGGACAACTTAAACAATCAAAATAATTAAGTATCAAAGTTGATACAAGAAGAAATATAAAATTTAATATACAGTAACTTTTACATAAGTTGAAAAGTATACAATCTATTGTTCATCTCCTTTTCTGAGATTTTGTCCCCTATGACATTGACACAACATTAAGCCAATAGCAGTAATCCTCTATTGTTGTCACTCAGCTGTTGATGTCCAAGAATGCAGGGACTCAAGAACATTCATCCTGCCTTACTTCCTCTTACAGATGTATCTCTCCTTCTCTTGGAGATGGAACCAAAATAGCCCAGATTTTTCTGATATTTTCCACTAAATGATAAACTGACAAGTGTACAAAAATGAAAATACAGTGTGAGACACCAGAGTATATAGAATCTTTTTATTTAGGGCTTTTCTGGTGGGAAACCATAGTAGGACTGGTTTCTTCTACCTTCTTTCCTGAACATTTTTAAGACCCCATATGTATTTCACAAAAATATTCCTCCACGTGGAATCTGTGATGTAATATTTAAGAAGCAGAAAGCCTATTTAATGGAACAGAATAAAGTGCTACCTTTTTTGCGAGGCAACTGGTTATCCATTTGCATACACGACTGAAGTTGCTTCTCTTCTTGCTAAAGGGTTTGGCCTCCACCCACTGTGAGCGCAAAACACATTGATGTCAGCATAATGTAGAGAGGCAACTGACCAAACACTACCCAGTTCTCCTCTCTGATTTAAAACTGCTTCCAAGGATAACTTGCTCCATCACAGCAGTGCCCATTCACCTCCATTATGTGCTTCCCTTGATATTTATTTTACTTTTGTGATTGCTTTGGTTGATTAAAAATATATGGAAGACCTGAAAACTGCAGAGAACAAACAAATAACCCTGCCAATCCAGAATTCTAAATCCATGATAATATTCCTCCAAAGTGAGAAATGGAAAGAATTCATTGCCAGTAGACCTGCTCTACAAGGAACATTAAAAGAAGCCTTCCAGGCAGAAGGAGATTGCTATAGGTCAGAAACTTGGCAGTACAAAAAGAAAGGAAGAATGTCAGAAAAGGAGTAAGCAAAGGTAAAACAAATTCCTTTTTTCCCCTTGTATCTTAATAGAGCTGAAAGATACTATCTGCTTACTGATACCACCAACTCAAGCAGAGGCTAATCATTTGTAATACTTCCACTGTCCATATCTTCAATTTCCGTGGATAGAGCAGCCACTGCTGCAAAGTTTTATGGCAGGAAGTACTGTGGATGAATCAGAGTGGAGCAGTCTCCTATCAGGCAACCCCTTACCATCAGAATTCAGCACCAACATGTGCTGGGCAGCTTAGACCTCAGGATTTTACCATATCAGATTATATGATACCTAGTGCCCCAAAGATACCTAAGTCCTGAGATTGGATTTGCAAAGTATTTTTGAATAAGCAATTTGCCAACCATCATTATCACACACTGGAACCTCTTCTGGGCCTGCTGCTTATTTCAATACATATATACATACACACCAAGCACACACACAAACCACCCATACGTATGCATCACATACATACATACAACATAAACACATGGTACAAACTCCCTTTATGTTCTGCACACATACACTCCAGACACATAGCAAACCAAACTTATAAACATGTTACAATACTGTATCCGCAAAATGGAAGTACAAACTAAAAACACCACACACATAACCACATGCACACACAAACCATAGGCACATAGGCACCAGGCACACACAGTGTGCCACACACATTACAGACACAGCACACCACAGCTATACAAGCATCATACACTGTACAACACACACTTCTGTTTTCTTGTGTCCCTGTGAACCTCACACTGATTGCTAAAAATATGTTCTTTTTTCTCTTGGGAAAAGCCTCAGAAGATAGGGCATATTCCACCCCTCCCCAAATTTTCCCCTATTGCTAAGTACTTTCAATAATATCTTTGCCAGGGAATGCCCCCTTATGGCCCTCTGGGGAATCAACTGATTGTTCATTTCATTTAATGAGCCCCTTATAAGAGTGAGACTAACCTGATTCGGAACAAAAAGTGATTTCTTCTTCCTCTGTGAAGACTTTTCTCTCAACTTTACACAATATTGACTTTCTGGGATTACCAAGTTTAGCCCCATAAATCATTCACCAAATCTTTTGACATCGCTGTGTCAAAGTTAAAAGCTTAATTTTTAACTTTACTTTTACCTTTTCCTTAAAGCTTCATGGAAGGTTGGAAGGTGCGTGGGTCAAAATCATCCAGTGGACCAGAAATCTGGGAATCTGCCAGTAAGTTCATGGCATAATAAGCGGACACCCTTAGTCTCTCTCCCTGCCCAGGAGATAAAGCTTGGCTGTCATAAGTGCTCTCAAGACTTCTCTATTAAAGATGGCTCTGGGTATTCAATGCTGTTCTCACAGGAATGTTGTGGCTTTCTAAATGCCCCATAAATGCCCTATTAAATTTTTACTTTTAATTCCCTTCCTTTCTTCTTCCTTTTCTCCCTTTTTTCTTTCTTCTTTCTCTTTCCCTTCTTCCTTCTCCCTCCTTCCTTCCTTCCTTCCCCTCCTTCCCTCACCCTGTCTCCTCCACACTCTTCTCTAAACGGTCCATCTGTCTGACATTCGGCATACTCAGAAAGAGGTACATTTTATTGAGGCATGTCCTCTGGAAGGTGTGGCTTCTCTCATGGCTCTTCCTGCAATTACTGTAGGTTCTGGTTCAGCCACTTGGTTATAGTAATATCCAGAAACATAAAAAAAAAAAAAATAGAGAGACAGGATCTCACTCTGTCACCCAGGCTGGAGTGCTATGGTGCAATTATAGCTCAGTGCAGACTTGAACTCCTGAGCTCAAGGGATCCTTCCACTTCAGCCCTGAGTAGCTGGGATTACAGGTATGCAACACTGTACCCAGCTAATTGGTAGAGACAAGGTCTTGCTGTGTTGCCCAGACTGATTTCAAACTTCTTGCCTCAAGCAATCCTCGTACCTTGGCCTCCCGAGTGTTGGAATGACAGGTGTGAGCCACCATGCCTGTCCCCTAATACTTTTAATGTAGAACTCTTCGAAGGTAATCTACTAATGACTTAAACATATCCAAGCACTAAAATCAGGGATTTTGCATTATAGATAATTTATTTCATGCTTAACAAATATTTTTAACTTTTTTAATCATGTTTTTAAAGTGCTCATTAAATGTTTGGCACATAGCGGATGCTCTGTAAATTGAACCAGTTATTTTTTTCCTCTAAAGAAATGTTGTAAATCTTTAACCCCTTTGCCCAGGAGATTTTGATGTTGTTATTGAGTTGGATTTTTTCTTTTTCAGAAGTCCAGATTCTGCTGGTCCTCTTCTGTATGTTGCAGAATTTTTGTACTGTCTGTTCTGTTTCATGCTTGGCAATTTCTGGCATTTTCTGAAAGAGGAGCCCTTTTAGTGATTGAAACCCCTAGGTCAGCAGTTGTTCAATGTCCATGTGTTAAATAATAACACTCCCATCTGCCATCAATATGGCAGTTCTGGTACTGATTACCTGAAGGAGAACCATCTTTCTGTTTGCTGGCCCCAAAGCTTTCTGCTGATCTGTGAGATTCTTTGAAATTGTTTCTTTTGGATTCTGTGTTTTATGTATTAAGTTTTAAAATTTATCATCTTATTATGGAAATGTTTAAGCATACAAAAAAGTAGATCAGTTTAAGATAACTGTGTACATATTCACCCACTTCAGTAATTATCAATATTTGGCCATTTGAGTTTTCATTTCGTCATTTGAATGTTATCAGCAACATTCAATGGTTGTTTTTTGTAGCATTTTAAAGCAAATCTCAGGCATTATGTCATTTCTTCTGTAAAACATTCAGCATGGCTATCTAAGTCATTAGAACTTTAAAAAATATAACTAACATGCTATCAGCACATCTAGTAAATAAACAATAATCCCTTAACATCACCTAATATCCAACTATTATGACAGTTTTCCCAATTACTTCAAAGTTGTGTCCTTTATATTTGCTTGATTTAAGAAAGGATTTGAATAGGATCCACATAATGGTGCTTAATTGTTAAGGCTCTTATGTCTCTTATTTTATAATAATCCCCTCTCCCAGTTTACATTTGCCATTACTTAAAAACAACAACAATAAAACAGGATCCCTTGCAGAATGTCTCTCATAATTGGTTTGGCTAATAGTTCCCTTTTAGGATCATTTGATGTATTTTTGTATTTCCTTACATTCCGCAAACTGTGAGGTATATACAGAGGCTTGGTTAAATTCAGCACAAAGACACTTCACTGGGATATGGGATGATACAGGGTACTATCGCACCCTGTTGGGAGGCACATAATAGCAGGTTGTCTCACTTTTAGGGGTGGTAAGATTAATCAGTAGTTTCAGATATTCTTAGCCTGACTTACTCATTAACAAAGTTTTCATCAACCTTTCACCTATGGCTTTTAACTACAGTTAGTAAATGTTGCCTAGATCCATCATTTGCTTAGAAGTTATGAAATGGTGATTTTCTAATTCTATCGTGTCTCCTTCATTTACGAGCTAGAATATTTTTATAAAAAAGGAAATTTACTTTATCAAACATTTGGTAAGCTGGGAATACAGATTTAATAGGAAAGTTACCATAGTCACTTGATAAAGTTCTAGAATAACTTAGTGTCTTAGCAAAAATGACCAAGTACTATTATGACCTCATGGATTTTATTTGATGTTTTGCAATCTATTGCAGTTCTTATTCCTTTTTGATGCTACAGTTCTTCCTTCTTTGGCCAGTGGGAGTCCCTTCAAGCTGGTTTCCATGTCATTATGATATGACTCTTGTGGTCTTGAATAGCTTCCTTGTCTCCCAACACACAAAAAACTTTCCAGCTTCCTCTTATATATTTTCTATTCTCAGATCTGGGCTTTCTCAGGAAGTGCGGGCTCCTTTCAGCAGGAAGTAACGTTTAGAGACCACACTCTGAACGCTAAGTGCTCATTGTTTCTGGGTTTCACTGCTTTTCGAAGTTTTCAGTGGAAGAACTTGAAAAGGGTATTTTTTTAAAGAAATTATAATATTTTCCTCATATTTCTAATTCAAATTTAGGATTAGGGTTATTTTCAAAATTCCTTTGATTTTATAGTCTCAGATATTTCTCTTTTGTTGGCTATCTTTGTTCCCAATGAATACACTTTTTTGCTTTATTGTAGCATGCCTACGTTAACATGAAAATAATACTAATAGTATTGCCAAAATAAACTGCTGCCTTCCCCAGAAACAGATCCTGAGATGAAGATTAATGTTAAAGTGATATAATCATATTTTCAGGGAAAAAAACCAACAACAAAAATAGTAAGGAGGTTGGGAAGTGGGCAGGGAAGGAAAGGAGACCAAACAAGGGTACGAAAACAAGCCAAGTCTGGAGGAAGGTAATTTTGGACTAATGCTACAAGAGCGCGGTGGGAACAGTGTATTCTGCACCTCAGATTTGTCCTAACCAAAGGTACAGAAGTTAGAGTATTTATATGCCAGTACCCATCAGTGGTTGGCTCCAGGGTGTCAGGTTTTGAAGGGAAGGCAAGGGTTAAAGAAAGACAGAGAGAGAGAGAGAGAGAGAGAGAGTGGCTTAACAGCAAATGCAGGCTTTATGTCCAGCATTAGACTTGCAGAGGCGGGAGACCAGCTTAATGCCAGGGCCCACTGCTGCTTAAAGGCTGGGGCAATTTATCGGTCAGGGCAGGAGGGATCTGGCGGGGGCATGGCCTGCTGCCTGGGAAAATGTTGATTACTTGTTCCCAGGATGAGACCGTTCTAGCCCTTGTTCGGCTGAATGTAGTGTTCCTTGCACTTTTGCACTTTCTCCCAGCAGAATATAAGAGGCAGGCTGTTTCTTATGGCCCAAACCCCTGTGGAATGTTTCACTTTCCAACGTCTGAGAAATGGCGGTGGGGGAGGCTTACAAAGTGCTGTAGCGTGGACTAACATTCTTGCCTTCTACTTTAATGTAAAAGGAAAAGGGGTGTTGTTGACTATCTGGCTGCTTCTTGCTGAATAGGGGCTCTGTTATCAGGTTGGGGTTTTGCAGTAGTGGGTGTCCGACTTCGGAGTTGTTTTCCTGGAGGCACTGATACCGAACTTGGTGGAGGAGAAGGATGGCATCAGTGGGTGTCTGGGTGGTTGCCTGGACAAGGGAGTTCAGCCTTCGGGAGATAAAGCAGGATATGGAGGTGAGTACACATGGACCAATTGTTAGTATTTGGAGGAGGAAGATTAGGGGCCCTAAGAAAGGGGTTACCCAAGGCATACACTTTAGGAAGGATGACCTGTGCTACCAAGAGTTAGTGGCTTGATGTTGGATTTCTGTAGCCCTGTTATGGAGCCCATGGGCTTCGTCGCGAACAATGCCAGATTCATTAACATTAAAAAGCATTCTTCTTGGAGATATACACATGTGCCCACCTTTTCAGTGGTTAGCAGGTCTAGGACCCTTTGGCTCTGGAGAATGACTCCCACAAGAGAGTTTATCTGCCTTTGGAGGCTTGTAATGGAAGTATGCATGTCCTCTAAGGTATTATAGAGGTTTGTTTTTTTTTTTTAAATATAGGGAAGTTGAGGTTGATATACTTGCTATTTCAGTGCCAAGTGCATCAGAGATGCTTAATCCTGTTACCAGAGGAATGAGATGTAGAGTCCACTTAGTGAGTGTGGAGGAAGATGAGACAGAAGCTACCAAAGGAACCTGGATGGTCTGGTTGTTTGGCAAAATGCTAATGTTTGGAGATTGTAACCAGGGTGTACATTCTTGACCAAATTGCTGGCAAGCAAAGCTAAGAGTTTGTGCCATACGGAAAGAAAAGACCGGGGGTTGAGAGGCAAAAGTTGTAAGTGAATGTAGCGAGCTACAAGTAGATGGGGGTTGAATCCTGGACAAACTTTTTGTTCCAACATTTTGTTTCTCCCGGCTGAATAGCTATTAGCAAGGGAGGCCCCTGTGAGGGTCTGATAGGGAATGTTGGTGGGGGAGGAGGTGAAGGCTGTTTGGTTTTGGAGAGAGAGAGAGAAATGGGTTTTAGTTAATTCATAGCCATTGTGGCCCCGATGGGACAGAAATA